TTGGACGGTTTCGAATGCTTTGCTGTAATCTGCACAGACCATTAATGTCACCTCCCCTCTGCTAGACGCTCGTATCAGTGCATCTCGAATTCCTAATAGAACACTGGTAGTGGAATGTCCCTTGCGGAACCCCAAGATGGTTGGACCAAGAAGAGCTTCCTCGTTTATGTATTCAACAAGCTGGTGGAGCACTAAGCGTTCAAACACTTTAGACAGAGTTGGCAGGATAGACACGGGGTGGTGATCTGCATCACATCGAGGTTCACTAAATTCTTGCAATCTTACATAGTTTAGGAAAACTCGATGTCACAATGCATCTGTTAATTATGTGCGTTATAGGGCCAGAGATATAATCCTTTGCCAGTTTCACAAACTTCACCGGTATCTGATCCACGCCAGTCGACGTGTCAGAACGAAGTTTACTTATTTCTTGATCCACATCTTCTCTCGTTACACAACGCAATTTAAGAGAAGAGCGGAAAGGCAATGGCTTCTCTGAAAAGGAGTGTACAAGTTCCATTAGGTCTGATCTTTCGTCTGGTTTGGTGCCCAGTGTTCTTTCATTAGTTTTAATAAAGAATTCGTTCAGTCTATCCGGATCTGCTTGAAGACGTTTGGGGCTGGGATGGAGAATACGATGAGTAATTCGTCAGACTTCCTTAGGTCGTTTTGAAGAGAGGGCGTTGGTTACGAACGACCGTTTGGACTTATTAATTGTTGATTTAAGTTTGTTACGCACTTCTCTAAACGTATCCCAAGAATCATCAGTGTTCTTTTCATGAGCTTCACGTCCCAGTTTATCACGCTCCGCCTGCAACTTGCGTATCTGATCGGAGTTCATCCATGGTGCAGGTGGGCGTGTGACCTTCATCCTCTTAAGGGGCGCATGTCTCTCAATGCACTCACCAAAAAGTGTGTTGAACCCTTGCACCATGTCATCTGGTATGTCCAAGCCGTAGATAACGGACAGAGGCAGACAAGCACAGTCCTTGACAAATTTCCAATCTGATCCACTTGTACCGCGGCTGATAACGGGGCACACTCACATTAACGCATGCAAATATGCCTTCACGATCACTGATTGACCACCCAGGTATTGGATCTGTGGCGGTCATGCAGGACCGGCTGTTAGTAACAATGTGATCGATAAAATATAAGCGTTTTTGAAGTACGCGTAATACGAGTTGGTTCAGTTACGTGTTGATAACAGCCAAGAGCTTCTAGAATAGACCGATACTGCTTTGTAATGTTATCTGAAGCCTTCAGCAAAAAAAGTAAATCTGTCTATCGACTTAATTATTTGCATTAAAGATAAACCTCATTCAGTTGATCAAAGTCAAAAGAAGAAACTTAGAACAATTTTTGAGAAATAGGTCGGAAAAAGGCAAGTGGCTCTTTTACAGATCTATAAAGGAAAAGGCTGAAAGATGTTATCTTACCTTGAATTGGCTAGATTTCAAATGCTATCGCGCGAGCGATGAGAAGACATCATGGCCACTTTTCGTATATTTCACTCTCCAAATATTTGAAATCGTTGGTGTATTTGTCTTTACACAATATACAATAAGAAGAATTAGAAGGTTGCTTAGGTGGCGTAGTTCGAAAAGGAACACGTTCACGGTTTAATTTGTTTTCATTTTTGAAGTTTGTAATCAGTGCATTAGTGCGTTAAATTGGTGAAGTTAAGAGACTCGATATACAGATTAGTTTCGGTAGTTATTATAATTTGTACTAAAGTTTTCAGAAGACATTTTAGTTAGTGCGATCAATGTAATTTGTGCAGTAAATGCAACCCTGGCGTTTCCTAAATTTTGTTACTAAGTTTTATATGCTGTAGTTTATGCAGAATGTGAAATATTTAAATGAGAAAGTTTGTTTAATTACCGAAGTATGTGTAGTTCCTGTTATTTGTGCATTCAGTGTAGTCTGCTTAGTTCTAGTGTTGTTACAGCTGTTTGTATAGGTAATCACATGATTTCGAGTGCAATTTGGAATAAATAAGCACGAGTAAATTTTTTCAAAGACTAACAAAATTGCATGAGCCCGTAGGGCGAGTGCAATTTGTGGTCTTTGAAAAAATTTACAAGTGCTTATTCATTCCAAATTACACGAGAAAATCATGTGATAATCTAATAATATACATGAAAAAATACGAGGTAGCTTCCCATAGCTTTGCAGAAGAAAAGCACGCGCATCAGGTGCAAAAATAATTTATTCAAACCCTGCAAGTGACATTCACAGTGACATTGACCTTGACATTGACCTTGACATTGACCAATCATTCTGACCAATCAGAATGTCTGGTTTGTTTCTTTCTTTGCACTGAATTAACCCTCTTCTGCACTGAATTAACTCTCTTCTGCACTAAATTAACTGAAAACTACTTTCATCTTAACCAATCACAATTGAGAAATTTTTTCATGTACATTATTAGTGTAGTTACTGTGCTGAGTTTGTACAGTTACTGAAGTTTTTGGAGTTATTGTAGTTTGTGTACTTTTAGTAGTTTATGTAGTTAATATGGTTACTGTAGTTTGTGTAATTACCGTAATTTGTGAAGTTATTATAGTATTTGTAGTTGCAGTAGTTTGTGTGATTAGAGTAGTTTATCTAGTTGCTGCAGATTAAGTAGTTACCCCTTTCTTCCTCTCTTTAGCTATTACTTGTTTTTGATAGCTTTGGGAATGTCACAAAAAATTTGGTTTTATAGATGTAATTAATCATTTTGTTTTTCTCAATCGGGTTTGAAGCATTGCTGCAACCCAAAGATAGTGATTCTTGGTTCTCGAGCTCTTTTTTTTGGTTTGTAGATGATTACTTTTAAACTATTTTGCTTGTGTTTTTCTAAGAATTTATTGCCTTTTAAAACATAGCCTTTGATTGTTTCTCTAACTGATGTTGGGGCGATTTGGCCGGAATAACGAACCAAGCAATGTTGGATCCTCTGGACCTCCCAGACCTCCTGGACCTCCCGGAAGAGATGGTAAGCTTAGGAGAGCTGAATCATAGGGAAATAATAAATATGATTGACCAAGGATGTGATATAATCACAACTTCTCCGTTTTGAAAACTTGATGTTGTTACACCTCTGCACTACTCATCCCTCGGCCTCTCACACTAAAAATCGATGGGTGCGAATGTCAATAATCACAACATCCATCGCTATGACTAGCGGCTCTAATAGGTACAGCAATAAGACTAACTCAAACTGCCATATGACAGCTTTGAGATCCTTGGTAGTTAAAAAAGATCCTCTTATGAACCCCATTCCTTATTCATAACAAGTAGAAATCAAAGAGAGACTTGATTACTTACTTTGATAAGGCAAAAATGTGTCATCTAAAACAGCAAGGTTTTTCGCTAGACAGGGGAATATTAATAGAAGATTGGAGGAACGGCTTAAGGGATACTTCTAAGGCCGAGGGTGGTAAAAGAAAACCAACGGCGCAAGCAACCTCTACTTCATAGATAAGCTAAAGGTTAATGAATATTTCTTTTTTTGCCCGCTTTTTTTCCCTCGGCAGCGATAAAAAAGTCAAATTCCCAGTATACAATCCCATATATGTGTAGTGGTAAATGTTCACACCCCCAAGGAGAAACGGATCAAAGTCCAAAGGTCCATTCTAACCCTTTCAGTCCTACTATCCTTTGCTTGGAGTTAGATTACACAGTGTATATCGTTGATGGATGTCTTTAAAAACAAATGCTAATACCATGTTATTACTCTTGATCATTTTCATTTAATAGTAATCCATGGAAAAGCCCAGAATGATTATATGAGTTTTGATTTAGAAGGCATCAATAGGTCATTTCTGAGTTATGGAGCTTGCAAAGATGTTCGGACGATTTTAATTTTGGACCAACGAAGTGTATATAAATAAAACCATCCAAAATAGTTCCAGCACAGTATAATACTTTATGTATTATACTGTGTATGTACTTTCTTGGATGCGGCCATCACATGTATTTAAGGCTAAAATACTTGATGAAGAAAGAGCTCGGACTAGGCTTTGCTCGTTCTTTTTTCACTGGAAAGGAACATCTTTTTCTGATAAACATAATAAGATGCAATGAATATATGAAGTTCATATATTTTGAACTGCGGTATTAGATACGTATGATGTGCGATCCTCGCAGTAGATAACGCTATTTATGCAATAGCGAAAATCAGACCTGAAAAAAAATCAGGCCTGTACGGGACTCGAACCACTGACCTCTGCGATACTAGTGCAGCGCTCTACCAGTTGAGGTAGATTCCACAAGTCTCTCTTTGCAGCAATAGAGCTGTGAATTTGACATGTTAACAACTATTATTATAATTGTTATTTTATTTTTTATTTTTATTATTACTTACCTGGTTAGTAATTACCTTTTGACTAGATCAACACAAACATCAGCTTCCATAGCTTTTGACGAGCCTTCCCAGTTGAGCCTGCAGTTGTGCATGCGAGAGTTTTTCGACTGTCTGTTGGCAGTTTCACTTGTTGCACACCTTTACAAAAGACATTATGAGTAAAGGTCCTGGGTAACACTTTCAAGAGGAGACAAATATGGGTGCTGTCATATGTTGAATGATTCTGTACTTTTTTGGTCAAATTGAAAAAAAAAAACATCGCTCTTGTTGTTTACAACAAGGTGCTAGTAGACAAAATATATTTCTATACATTACTTCNCAATTATAATAATAGTTGTTAACATGTCAAATTCACAGCTCTATTGCTGCAAAGAGAGACTTGTGGAATCTACCTCAACTGGTAGAGCGCTGCACTAGTATCGCAGAGGTCAGTGGTTTGAGTCCCGTACAGGCCTGATTTTTTTCAGGTCTGATTTTCGCTATTGCATAAATAGCGCTATCTGCTGCGAGGATCGCACATCATACGTCTCTAATACCGCAAATATATGAACTTCATATATTCATTGCATCTCATTTATCACTTGGCATAAACTACCTACACGTTCAACCAAGTCCGCCGCAAGGACAGTTCACTAATGTATCTATTATGGGACTTCGCGCCTATATCGAAGATGCCTCGATCATCAAGGAACTGGAAAAATTCGGAGAAATTAAATCGGAAGTCATTCGACTTAAATACAAGAAAGGTCATGATCTAGTAGGAGTGGAAAATGGAAATCGCTTGGTACGCATGATTCTTACAAAGCCAAGCGTACCATACTCGCTCAAAATAGAAGGCGAATGGTGTCGTGTGATACACAATAATCAGAAGCCCATCTGCAGCTTATGTCATGAGGATGGACACCGACGCAATGAATGTCCCACTGTCGTTTGTTTTACGTGCAACGAAACGGGCCACGTTAGAGCGAACTGCCCTAATCGCCCTACGGATAACACTACACCAACCGAAACCGAAGAGGAAGAACGCCAAATGCACACCGAACAACTCCTGCGCCAAGCGGCTGAAACCCCCCGTGATCTGCGCGACCGCCACAACCAGCCAGACCTTGTATACGCCGAGGAACTCGACGAGGAATTTCTCGACGCTGAAAATGACCCAGAAGACCCCACAGATGACCCCGACATAGAACAAGACCAAGCTACCTCACACCACAACAACCAGAAGAAAAAAAGATCTCCACAAACCAGGCACCAAACGAGGGCTAAATACCTCTTCTGATGAAGACCGCGTTAAAACCCGACGCCTAAACTCGAAGCCACAAGACCCAAAACTAATGAGAAACAACCGGAGCCTGCAGCCTGCAACCCGCGAAGATAATTCTGAACACTCTCAACAAGAACAGTATTAATTATGGGACACTCTACATCAGGTTTGCTTTCCCCTCTTTTAGTTTACACATTCATTTTAGCTAGCATCAATGCTCGAGGTCTTCGTTCGGCCGACCGATGAAGTACCGCTTTTAATTTTTTCCAGCGTAAACATTAGATATAATTTTTATTGAAGAAACGCATTGGACAGACGACATGACAACCACTATAGAACATGAATGGAACGGTAAATGTATCCAACTATGCGGGGACGAAAATTCCAGAGGTGTCGCAATTCTTAGCCTGCAGAGCAAACGTTCTTGTGGAGTTTGGGCGAAAATTAGGACTTTGGGCTTTCTGTTTTATTTTCCAGACCACGCGTAAAAAAGAGCGAGGCGAACAATTAGAAGGTGGGGGAAGGGGGAGAGGAGAGAAGGAAACGCCTGCCAGCAGCACTTGAAAAACGCCACCTAATTAGATATGCACGAGTAACGATAATGCGCGAACAGTTGGCCAATCAGGTGGCGCGACGGAAGTGGATTTTCACTTCCGTTCCTTGTCAAAATTTGTTGTTATTCGAAGGGAAATCACGTGTCAAAATTTGTGTTCACATGTCGCCGAACGAGAATTGTCGATTTTGCGGCTGTAGTTTTAAAGTTAAATACGGCTCGTACCTGTCATCAGAAATTTATTCAGAGCATCGAAGAGAAGTGATGCTTATGGAGTAATTTTATCAGACGTGTGTGCTGGAATTGGCATGGAACTCATTCAAAACAACCAACAGTTATCCGATCGCTGTTTCGATCCGTGTGCTAGGGAGGTCAGAAACTTGGGACAGCTGCATGCATTCATCCTTAAGAACGCAAACGGCCAATGTAAAAATCCAGAAAAGCCCAAAAGTGCAAATAAGCGGCAATTAAATACGCCAAACAAATCTAGCCCGGCATGGAGGAGGAATAAAGCCGCTTGTATGTGCAAACCACCTACACCGAAATCAAGAAAATGCTTAAATATGAGCGAGAATATCGATCCACCTTCATTGAAGAGAAACCTACCGAAAGACTTGCTGCTTTTAAGCCAACTTCTTGGGCCTCGACAACCTGGTCGTCAACGATGCTTTTCCGAGGGCAAACGAAAACCATGCAACAGTGTTTCTTCGTGAGAAGCTGCTTGACTCGCACACCAAATCTAAAAATAATGCTTTTACCGAAGCCTGTCGGTAAGACCGCCAACACATCTTTAGTTCTGTAAAGTTGACGTATGGCATCTTCCTGTTCTTGTTTTAAAACAAAGTTTTCTAAGACATCAAAAGTAGCTAAAGAATCGTTCAACACAAGATCTATCTCTTCTTCGCTAAACGTCATAATGGATGTGATAAATAACAAACTGACGTCACATTCTGCTGTCAATAAAAAATACTGGACCAATCAGAATCGCCCGTTCGTGAGCGAAAGGGTTATTCAAATTTTCAAGTACTGCTGGTAGTCGTTTCCTTCTCTCCTCTCCCCCTCCCCCCACCTTCTAATTGTTCGCCTCGCTCCATTTTACGCACGGTCTAGAAAATAAAACAGAAAGCCCAAAGTCCTAATTTTCGCCCAAACTCCACAAGAACGCCTGCTCTGCAGGCTACGCAATTCTTTTCAATTCTCACCTCGATCTAACAATAGAACATATCAAATCTGACACCAACGGACGAATTACATCGGCCACAATCACCTGAGAAGACCACACTTTTAACCTAACCAACATTTATGCCCCTCGTACTGACACTGAACGTGCAACCTTCTTCCAAAATCTTGACCCCTTTCTCTCGGGTCAACATCCCAATATCTTTGGAGGAGACTTTAACTGCATAGCCAACGCCAAAATGGACAAGCGAGGCGGAAATCCACTCGCGCGCCAATTAGCCACCGCCAAACTAAATAATTTTCTTGTGCAAAACAATCTCATCGACATATGGCGTAAACACCACCCACACTCCTATGCGTTCACATGGACCGGCAAAAATCCCACAGATCAATCTCCGATACTAACGCGAATCGATAAATTTTATACTCCCCAATCTATCTCCCATCTCATCATGAAAAGTGATATCACACCCTACCCACATTCAGACCACGATCTAGTTTTAGTTCAGCTTGACCTGTCAAACACACCCCGGGGAAAAGGCTTTTGGCACTTCAACAATACCCTTTTAGACGATGCTGCCTTTAATGCTGACCTCATCGCCTTTTAGCAAAACTAGCTTACAAAAAAATCCGATTTTGCTAACTTGCTCACTTGGTGGGATAAGGCAAAATTCCATTTCACACAAATCACAATCTCGCACGCATCCAAACTCAGAAAAACCTCCCAAGCACACCAACTCAATCTTGAACGCAAACTAGCTTATTGGAAGGAAAAATCCACTTTCGGTGCACCTCGCCACATCGAAAAATTTCTTAGTACCAAAATGACCTCCGGTTATTCGAAATAACAGAAGTCCGAGCGATCAAAATTCGAATAAACCTCGTCACACTGAGCCTGATGAAAACAGCTCGAAATACTTCTACAACTTAGAAAAAAACCAAACAGGAAAATCAAATTATTAAAATCCTCACGAAAGATAATCTAGATACCGTCACAGCAACCGCAGATATTCTGGCCGAAACATGCAACTTTTATAAACAACTCTATTCAGCTGAAAAGATTGACGAGCAAGCCCAACAAGAAATTCTTAATATCGCAACCTCCCATCTTAAACCAGAAGACCGGAATAAGTGCGAAGTTTTAATTACCACAGCCGAAATCACCAAAGCAATTAAGTCCATGGAGCTGAACAAATCACCCGGCCTTGACGCATTGACAACTAATTTCTATTCACACTTTTGGGATATCCTTTCGCCTGAGCTAACCGCAATATACAATTACGTGTACAATAGTGGGAAGCTCTCCCTTTCACAGAGACGAGCCGGGATCAATTTAATCTTCAAGAAAGGCGATCGCACCAGACTCTCCCAATGGCGCCCCATCTCCCTCCTTAACTCAGATTATAAAATATTGACCAAAGCCCTCGCAAACCGCCTGACCTCCGTCCTCCACACTATTATTCACACAAACCAAACTGCTTGCATTCCTTCGCGCACTATCAATGATAATGCCAGCCTTATTCGTGATGCTATCCTCTACGCAAACGACACCGATACTCCACTTGCTTTCGTCTCAATTGATCAACTCAAGGCCTTCAATAGAGTCTCCCATTCCTTTTTATTCAAATCTCTTGCTAAATTGGGCTTCGGACCACGTTACATCAAATGGATTAAACTCTTGTACAATAACGTCATGAGTAATGTCAAAGCCAATGGTTGGTTAAGTGCATTCCTAACGCTTGAGCGGGGACTGAGACAGGGTTGTCCATTCTCCGCCCCGCTAAATTATATATGTGTGCTCATAAATAATGACCACACACATCCGCGCAAATCAAGATATTCACGGCCTCTTACCACCCGCCTCAAAGGAGGATATTAAGCTCTCTCAGTGTGCGGATGATACCTCGCTCTTGCTTACTGACGAGGAATCCGTCCGACACGCTTTCCTCACATTGCAACTCTTTGAAAAAGCCTCCGGCGCCCGGGTCAACAATTCTAAATCTAAAGGACTTTGGGCAGGCGCCCTAAAGCATCGCATCGATCAACCATTCGGCTTTGAATGGTACAATGAACAATAACATATATATACAATATATACCTGACAACATTCTCGGCCTCTATTTTGGCAATGTTGACTGTACTCAGCTTAACCTTACACCGCGCCTAAAGAAAATCACAGATACTATCAAAGCATGGTCCTCACGAAACCTCAGCTTTAAAGGCAAAACCCTTGTGATAAACGGCCTGCTTACCTCAGTGCCCTGGTACCAGGCCACCGCCCTACCCATTCCGTCCTGGGCTATCCGCGATATCGAACAGGAGATATATCACTTTTTCTGGTCGAACAAAATGTACCTGGTTAAACGAGAGACACTGGCGACCACCTTTAGGCCCCAAAATTACCGCCCTCCGCTTGTCCACTCTACGGCGCTATCTAGATCCTGACCAGGCGGCATAGAAGCATTTCATAACATTATACCTGCGCACCGCAAACCAAAATCTCGGTGCCCTTACACTCTCTACAACCTATCAATACCAACACATCGACCGCTCTATCCCACAATTCCACCGCTAGCTCCTACTCGCCTGGAACAAACTACACCCTCAACTAACGACCCAAATAGCAAACAATCTCCCTACTGTCTTAGCCCAACCACTCTTCCTCAATCCACGATTACAATGTGCAGGGCGACCACTCGCGTTTCCCCACTGGATTAAGAATGGAGTTACGCAACTGAGCGATTTATGTTACGAAGTTATACCAGGATTCCTACCCATCCAGGCGCTCTGCGATATGGATCCCCGATTTCCCCCGAGCCAACTCGCCCGCGAACTCAACACCCTACTACAGGTCCTCCCAGACAACTGGCGACGCCTTGTTGCCTCCACTACAACTCCCCACACCCCGCCTACCCCAGCTGAGTTCACCATCTCTTCCTCAGCTACTCCACTTGCTAATATCCCCACCCACGGTTTCTACAAAATACTTATGGCGTCTCAGCATGTTAAAGTTTTTGTAGGCGCGTTTGAACAGTAGGATACTGGCGCGATAGAAATCTTTTATTATTATTATTATTATTATTATTATTGTTATTATTATTATTATTATTATTATTATTATTATTATTATTATTATCAGCAGCCCACCATCCCCAGCCTACAAGATTGGGAGCACACCATTGACCCCGCCCCTAAATTCCCCTCCACGTTTTGGAAATCACTTTACACTCCCCTGCTTCCCAATCACTTCGGCGATATCACGTGGAAAATCGTTCACAGGGTC